TCTGTGCAGAATATTCTTCATGTTTGGTGTACCACAGAAAATTATAAGTGATCGCGGTAAATAATTTGTTAACTATCTAAATGATTCGATGTTTAAACAATTTGGAATAAAACATCTGCTAACTTCAGCATATCACCCTCAAACAAATGGTCAGGATGAGAGAACGAATCAAACTGTAAAAAGATCATTGAGTAAATTAGTCAATGAAGAACAGAATAATTGGGATAGTTTTTTAGCGCCAATTGTGTATGGGCTCAACACTAGTCGCCAAGAATCAACTAAGTATTCCCCATATTATCTCATGTTTGGACGATTTCCTAATCTTTTTTCAGAACTTGCCCTGAAAGAGAAACAGGAATTGCACCAGATCGGAAACCCAGCCCTCCCAACAATAACACCACCGCACGAAGCTGACGTTGAAGAAAATATTAAAAAGATGAAAGGTATATTTGAGGATGTTTCAAAAAATATAGAGAAGGCACAGGAGAAGCAGAAGAAACAGTATGCAGCTAGAAAATCAAAAGAGTGTAATATAAGTCATTTGATTTTTCAGTTGGCCATCGTCGTAATGTTCATCGTCGAAGTTCTTCGTCGTATTGAGAGAAAGATTGGAAGGAAAGGTGCATGGCTCGGTCCTTACATTATAGCTAGCATCGTAAATAGTTGTGCAATGTTAAAAGGTAGTACGTATTATGTAGGATGTATTAAAATTTAGTAATGTAATGTAATGTAATGTAGTAAAATGTAGGATGTATTAAAATGTAAAGTGAATTAAAGTTAAAGGATGCACATCATGTAAAAGCAGTAAATAAAAGAAAAGCTAGTTTTGGTGTCGAGGAACACAATACGCCCAGTTTTAACGCAGCTGTCAGTTGCTTCTGTCAGGAAGTGATAAATTAAATGAAGGTGCCGTCGTTGTTAAATGTAGAAAATGTAGTGAGGAAGTGATAGAAGTAGCAAATAGACCCCCCCAATTCAGTAAAAAAGGCCGGGAAAGTAAACATTGGCTCAGTTCAACTAGAAAATCAGAAATTTGAATCAATTCTGGAAGGGTCATGGTTGGCGAGTGATCACTTAGATTATGCATCTAGATTGTTGAAAGAGGCTTATGCAGGCATTAATGGGTTTATGTCTGTTCTTCTTGCGCAGACTCAATCAAGTTTCACTCAGGTTGTGGGACAGTTCATTCAGCCACTCCTGTTTGTGGAAATCAATGCAGGTATATGACACTGCCAGGTCGTAAAGCACCAGACAGCCTTTTTAACCAGGTTGCTGCACTTCTGCGCACTACAAAAAAGGATATAACTATCGAGTCCATACCAGTCATCGAGCCATCGAGTCATATGCATCGCCAAGATGGTGGAAATGACTGTGGAGCTTTTGCAATTGCAATCAGTTCACAGAGTCTGTTTGGCCAATAGAGTAAATCCTGCACAAGTCTTTTTCAGGCAATCCGAAATGCGCCAACATTTGTATAATTGTTTCAAAAACAAAACTCACACCTTTTCCTGTGTGTGACAGAACTCGCCAAATTCCAAAATTGGTTCATTGTTTGTGGACTGAGTTTGTATACTGTGTGTGCAGGCTTCCAGAAAAGAAAGGGGTGCCAATGGTTGAATGTTGGATATGTAAGGATAATTGTTATTTCTTATAATATGTTGTTGAATTTGACTTAAACGTTATAATATATTTCGAAAGTGTATATTAAGATTTAAAATTGTAGTTACTAATTTTGCTGAGCTTGTATTCCTGCATGTATGTCTGTCATGTCAATGTAGAGTGTCTGAATGATAGTAAATCCGCGGATTTCCGCGGATCCGCGGAAGATTCTCATCCCTGTAAAATGGAGCGCTATTTCAACATAATACACAGACTTTTGGTGCGCGATTTCAACCACTTATGAGGCGCGATGATGCACGCACCATGGCACAATTTATGGTGCGTGGTGGAGCGCGAGCGCGATCGCGCCCCTTAAAAATGAAAGCCTGAGTTACATACTACTACTAGTACTAGTTAGTAGTTAGTACTAGTTCAAAGGGAGTATATCGAAGATGGAGAGACAAGTTATAATCAAGTTGACAGATCAACACAAAACATTCTTCACTTCAGTACGTGCACGTGCAAAAGTCAACACCCCATCGCAGGATCTTTAGACAGTAAATTTGAGTAATCTTAAAAGGTAAGGTTCACATAAATATTCAATGTCTTGACTCGAGTGTCCTACGTGCTGGGCGTACTAGTTTAGTTCATCAATAGCAAGCAGCTTCTTAGTTTTGCATGATGTTCTGATGGTCTATGTTAGCCGATAAAATTTTACCCTAGTTATACTGTCTGGTTTCTAGTTTCATCTATTCGTAATGAAAAAGCTGGACATATGGTGCATTTTTCGTTAAGGCAAAATCGGTTGGAAATATTTGCCGTACAATAGTACATGTAATCAGAAGTAGATAATAGGGAATCTAGATCTAAGAAATCTAGGGAATCTAGGGAATCTAGATTATAGGAAACTAGATGTAGGGCCTAATGCCATCTGGCATCTAGCATTGTATGGATGGTACCTGAGCTACCTGGTGTCCCATCAACGACTTGTTTTTCTGCAGTATGTGTAATGCCATCTCATTAAGTGGATCTGTTAAGAACACATTGTATGCATGGACCATGGTGCCTGCCCTGCCTGGTGTCCCATCAACACTAGTGTTGGAGAACGTGTATAAACAACAATTTAACTGCTTTATTGAAAGTGTGCATACCTAGGCAATAACCTGTTTGGTTGATGGTGTTTACAAATATGTAGTTATCTTAGGCTATCTATCAGTATATGTGTGGCTTTAAATGTTATTATCAGTTATAAGGTGCAACTATTGTAAAATATTAGCTAATGCTTGACTGCTTATTAATGAGTGCTAACTTTCAGGAAATGGCGGAAAAGGTTAGGCAGTATGGACTCGACGATGTGAAACGTTTGAAGACAACAGGTACAATCCGAATTTGAGGTTACTGCAGTAGTGCAGTATATGAAAAAGAATTATTGTACGGCTGCACTTGGCCCTTGCTATATTGTCACTTCATCATTAGCTCTGTGCTTCTTATGTGTTGAGGTGGAAGTTTGGAGCGCGACTGCATGACATTACGAAAAATGGACATGCAAAAAATCTAGTCAACTCTGATTCAAAATTGTCTTCAAACTATACTGACTGGAAAATTGTTTCTGATGCCAAATACAAGACCATATCCCACTAAACTACATGGAATAAAAAAATAAAAAAATGATCAATGATATCCAGTAATGTACATAATGTATAGTGTAATTAATATATAATATACATAATATAGTGTGACAGACGTTACGATTTGTCCACTTACAATAAACAGTCAGCACGCCAACACCTTGAATATATCTGTGCTGTCAGCTTGGCTCAGTAGGGTAAGATAAGAGTTCTAAATGATATGGAGTTTTCATGTACCACAAATATTAATTGAATTGTCAACAAATTGTATAATTCTTTTTCCATGTCTACCTACCTACTCATGGATTTACCCAACAGGAGACTACCTCAAACAACTATCGAAATCGGGACTATGG